TTACTTCAACGGGAGTAACTTTTTGTGCACACACAGGAACCACAGGAACCACTCTTTCCACTGGAACAAAGTGAGTGGCTGCAGCAATAGAGACTCTTAACTGAAATGAGACTTAATAGAGACTCTTAACTGAAATGACATCTCAGTTCAAAGTTATATATAGCTATATAAGACACAACACATACTTCTTTCTTTGAGCACTGCCATTACCTGCTTATTATTCTGCCATATAATGTGCAGAATAGGAGCAGAAGGTGACTAATGTGTGTGAATAAACAATGCCAGGCGAATTGTGTGATTGGAATGGTCTATACCTGTTCACTCAGTCGATATAAGGGCTATTTACGATGCACTAGAAAAGGCAACTTAGTGAGAAGAAATGGCCATCTCAAGCAAGTAATAAATGAAAATGGCTGTTGCATAGAAACCAGTTCAGTAAATTTTGAATGGCCTATAGATGGATCCCTTCTCTGTTATTTATTGACCATCTATTCAAAGAGATGGCTTTCCAAAGAGCAAATGCTGGTATTCTAGTTTTATTTCCAGAAGAGAACTGAGTACACTGGATATTATGCTCCAATTTTCTTATAATTTGTAATTTATTTTTAATAATTAATGATAAGTTAACATCTTTCTGTGGACTTGTAATGCTTGACATTTTACCTGAATTAATGCCTCTCTACTGGTGATGAAACTGAAACAAACAATGACATTGCTTGATTAGAAAGCATAAGAAATCCTTGGCATGAAAATGCTTGCATTGACTATAAAAAGGAAAAGTTGAATTTCTTATTCTATTTTTTTTACTGATTTTCAGAGCTTAACCTTGCATGGTGTTCAATGGGAAGGAAGGAAGGAAGGAAGGAAGGAAGGAAGGAAGGAAGGAAGGAAGGAAGGAAGGAAGGAAGGAAGGAAGGAAGGAAGGAAGGAAGGAAGGAAATTTGTTATTAAAGGCAAGCCAAAATAATAAAAAAGAGGGAATATTGGGCATAAGCTGGAGAGAACAGGGGAAACAAGGTCAGAATGAGACTTAGTAGGTCTAAGAGAAGTAGAGTAGAAACAAGACAAGTCAGTAGAGGACAGATGCATGTCAAATAAGACCCACTAGCCCTATTGTGGCTTAGGCCAAAGAGGTTGTTTTCTAACTGTGTCTAAGCAAAGGGCCCCCTTCATGCTATGAAGAAAGTGTTAACAGAGTCCACAAATGGGCTCTGAAAAGAAGACAGAGAAACTCCACTTTCGTGTACTGAATTGTAAAAAAATATGCCATAAAAAAGCTTTATTTTAAAGACATGGATTGGATGGGAAATTTTGCCATTAATTTACGATCACAGGAAAGTTGACAATATGTACTTTGCATTACTTTGTAGCAGTCCATGGGAGAGCAGAGTCTCAGGTAACATTCTTCTTTTATATGTTCAAATTAACAAGATCTGATGAAATAACTCTAACTTCTGGTTACAGAAGGGAAAAAAGAAGAGGGACGTTTGATGGATGTATTGCCACATGTTAAAAATTAGGAAGAAAAATATTAAATTATTATAGTACCATGATGGCGAACCTAAGGCATGTGTCCCGGAAGTGCCACATGAGAGGTCGCCCGGAAGAGCCCCACTGCACATGTGCATGTGCTGCCTGCCCAACAGCTGATTGTCGGGTATCTGGTGCGCATGAATGGGGGGCAGAAGTATGCAGGAGACATGTGCACATGTGCAGAGATGCATGGCACATGGGGGGATTGCGTGTGCATTCTCAGAGATCCACGGTGTGTGGGCATCATGCATGCATGTGCAGGGGGTGTGGCCCCCCCGCGAGCATTGCCTTCTGGGTGCTGGCATGTGAGCACACGAGCGCGATTACACACACAATTTTTGGCATGGGAGCCCAAAAAGGTTAGCTGCCAGTGTTATAGTATATATTTCACATTCATTTCAAGGGGTTACCTTACCTTGGTGCACGCTCACCAAACTGGTTGTTAAACCGGTAGAATCCCAGTTTGTATAGGGGAAGTGGTGACCTATCCACAGAACTAATTTAGTATGTAACTTAGATTTTGCTCTTATTCTCCAACAATTCATTGTTTATATACCATGCCTTCTTGTCTATTCTAATGAATATGATATCTGAATTACAAAAATCTGAGGCAGCAAAGAAAGCCATTCATACATACATACATACATTCATACACTCACTCACTCACTCTTTATTTGCTTATTTATTAAAGCTTCTGATCAGTTCCCATAAGTGGTCTACTGAATGTAGTGGTGGGATTCTACCGGTTTAACAACCAGTTTGGTGAGCGTGCACCAAGGTAAGGTAACTGGCTAAGCAGCTAACGCAGCTTGCAGAACAGCAGTGGTACGTGGGCAAACTTTGATCTGACCATAACAACATAGGCAGCTGTTGTTACATCAGTTGAAACTTCTAAATGGTCTTCAACAGCAACTCAATGGACAGTGAATTGCAGTAGTCTAACCATCAGGTGATGAGGATATGGGTGAGCATGCACAAAGTTCTTGATCCAGGAACTGGATCCAGGCAACTGGGATACAAGATGTAATAGTGAAGAGGCCACACCCTCCACCAGCTATACTAGCAGGAAGTTGCAAATTCAAAACATCCAAATTGTGAACTAACTTCATATGGGGTAATTAAAGTTTTCTATGTCTATTTGCTGCTATCTAGTGTTTCTGGGGTTTTGTAGTCAAATACAGTTCAATATCCATTCTCTAACAGTTTCTATAGTTAACTGCTGGTATACATATCTCTTTTTCTTAGAATTTTCCCTTCCCTATTTATCTAGCTAGGTATTATTTTTTTCTACACCATGACCTTATTTTTCCTATTTGCTATTTGTTTTGGGTATTTAAGTGTCTTTGTTCTGATATCCTTTCCAGCTGTTGGCTGTTTTTGAAGATCAAAGAGCTGGTCCTTGCTCCTTAAGACTGTTAGGAAATGTTCAATTCCTGCCACGAGAGATTGAAAGTTAGATGGAGCCCTGTCTAGTATTAGTGATTACTATGGATTAAGATCTCAGATTTTTTTTCCAGTCCACAGAGAGTTTTATTACCCCGTTTTCTGTCTTTAAGGATGTCAGATCTGCACTAACTTGTCTCTGATATCTAGCTGTTTTCATTCTTTATTATCTTCTACTCTTTTTTCTTTCTGTAGCATTTTCCTGTTTACTGATCACTATTTTTCTTTCTGTTTCCTATACTTCTTTCTTATTGGGGTCTATTTCTTTCTCTTGTTTACTATTATGGGAAGACCAATAATTCTTCCAGCTTATCCATCCTCACTTTCAAGAAGCATTTAAGGATGAATCGCAAGCATTTCTCACACAATTTGCTCCCTCATTTCTCCTTTTCCAAGACATGTCCTTGTGAGTTATGTCTCTTGTCAAAATGAGAATTTGCTAGCTATCTTCATAGTATATTTTTAGAATATTAATACACTATATATTTACATTAATTCAAAAGATAATATATACCTATGATCACAATTGGGCCCAAAATTTCTGTTGTTAAGTGAGATATTTATTAAGTGAGTTTTGCTCCATTTTACAACTTTTCTTGCTCCAGTTGTTAAATGAATCACTGCAGCTGTTAAGTTAGTAAGATGGTTGTGTAGTAAATCTAGTTTCCACATTGCCTTTGTTTGTCAGAAGGTTGCAAAAGGCAATTACATGATTCTAGGACACTGCAATCATCACAAATATGAATCAGTTGCCAAGTGTCAGAATCTGTTTTCTAGGTGGCACTTGCCACCGGCAAGACTAGCAAAAAAAGTTAACAATATATCCACCACACACCCCAGGTACTTATTATCATATGTGGTGGACATGTATGAAAGCAAGAAAATACTGGACAAAAATACACACATGGTTGGAAAAGGTAATCAAGCAGCATATAGATTTGAAACCAGCAATAGTTTTGTTAGGTATAATACCAGAAAGTTATGATAAAGGGACTATATATTTAATTTTACATGCATTGACCGCAGCAAGAATTGTATTTGCACAATATTGGAAAATGAGAAAACTCCACCAGATGAAAATATAATTCAAAAAATATTGGATTGTGCAGAGATGGATAGATTGACATTGAAAATAAAAGATAAAGGAGTTACAGAGTATTATTTAACGTGGAATAGATTCTATCAGTGGTTAAAGATAAGAGGTAGAAATTAGATGAAGAAAGAGTATTGCTATATACAGTACAAATTAAACATAAACATTGTGTATAACTATTAGTATGCTAATATAATCAATAGGATCACAAATATGCTAGCTTAATTATAAATAAGATTAAATCATTCTGTTGTACTACCACTACTCTCCCAGTTGCTATGTATGGCTGTGAAAACTGGACCATAAGAAAGGCTGAGCACCAAAGAATTGAGGCCTTTGAACTCTGGTGCTGGAGAAGACTCCTGGGAGTCCCTTGGTCTGCAAGGCAATCAAACCAGTCAGTCCTAGGGGAGATCCACCCTGACTGCTCTTTAGAAGGCCAGATCCTGAAGATGAAACTCAAACACTTTGGCTACCCAATGAGAAGGAAGGACTCAATGGAGAAGAGCCTGATGCTGGGATGGAGTCACTGAAGCAGTGGAGTCGGTGTGAGCTTAAATGGACTCCAGAAGATGGTAAAGGACAGGAAGGACTGGAGGAACATTGTCCATGGGGTCGTGATGGGACTTGGACATGACTTTGCAACTAACAACAATTACTACTATTGTTATTAACATATATGTTACTATTTCTGTTTTTCTTTTCTTTTCCTTTGTAAAATGGTATGCCCAGACAATACACTGTATTCAAAATGTTTATATATAAATAAAAAAACTTGCCCTAAAAAAAAGTGTCAGAATTTTGATCACGTGTCCATGGGAATGCTGCAATGTACATGGTTTTTTTCAGTGCCATTGTAAACCAACTAATGTAAGCCAAGGTCTACCTGCATTCCACCAACTGCATCATGAGATTCGTATACATTTCTTACCTTGCTGCACAAAGGATCCGTACACAAACCACATGGAGTTGTAGAGTGTTGTGGAGGTCATCGATCCCATCTGAAGCCGTGGAGGGTTAAGCCAGTTGAGAAGATACACCAAGAGTCCGACGAGCAGTACTGTGCCAGCGATGCAAGCCCAGAGGGAGAGGTCAAACGGTGCCAAACAAGCAAACATGTCCATGGTCTTTTCAGCCTTTTGCAGCAAGACTCCCACTGAGTAGTCCATGTAGCGAGTTGTAAAGTCAACCACATTTTCCCGATCTGGTGTAATCGTTAATGCAGAAATGCCTATATCAGCTCTCTAAAGAAAAAAGAGACAGAAAATTCATTGCCTTTAGCAAGAGAAAAACAGCATCACTTCTGTCTGAAACTTCTCTCAGAAAAACAGTTGCCAAGTTTTGTTTACCTTGCAGTTCACGTGTAACAACCCAGGTAGTAAGAAAACAAACACAAAGTTGACTAGGAACGACCAGTTGAATTCATGGTGACCATGTTTAAAGAGCTTTTAATAGCTCAGAAGAAGAGCATATTTCAAATGAAGATAGCTTTTAGAAAAATTTATTTTTTTATTTTTTTAAATTACTTTTTAATAATTAAAAATATTAATTTTTATTTTTTATTGACACCAAACTATGTTATTGAAAAAAAATGAAAAGTTCATTTTAATAGTCTGTTGATTATGACTTTTGCCCAGCAAAGATTTTTAATGGACTTCTCTTATTAGTTTTATATTACATCTGCATGTGTTGATTTACATAGTTTATACCCTAACATAGCATAATCTTGGTATAATAAAATAGATTTTAGAATATTACAAAATATGATATGCAAGCTAGTACAGAAACTTCAGTGTTAAATGTCAGAAAAACATAGATAGTCTCAATCCTAACATGAACTATTTAAATTCTAATTGGGTTGATGATCCAAAATATATTATGTAAATACAGTGGAAGACTCTGCTTAAATACCTAACTGCATCCTTGAATAGAAGACTATTCATCATACTTTTGCTCTTCCAAAAGACATTTTGATATAAGTATTTTGAAAACTAAGTGTGGAGATTTTTTTTGTTTGTGAGTGCAGGCTTCCAAATAATTGACAGTCTGGTGGAATCATCTCTTCTATTCATGCTTTCAGGTCTTTTTTCAATCTTTATGGCTTCTCTGATAATTCTGTAGCTGGGGTTTTCTATAGTGGCTTGGGTTTTGGTGCCATTGAAGTCGATGCTATGACCTGTGACTAGTGAGGAAGTGTGTTCCAGCTTTTTTATTGCATTTTTGTGTTCATCCAGGCGGGTACTTATTCTTCTATTGGTCTGTCCAATGTATGTGGCAGGGCATGATGCACAGGGGACTTCATATATGCCTTGGTTTTCCAGGTCAATTTTATCTTCGTGGTTTCTTAGGATGGCTGCTATTTTTCTGTCTGTTTTGAAGACAGTCTTAATGTGATGAAGAATAAGTACCCGCCAAGATGAACACAAAAATATAATAAAAAAGCTGGAACACACTTCCTCACTAGTCCAACACATGAAAGCCACAGGTCATAGCATCGACTTCAATGGCACCAAAACCCTAGCCACTGTAGAAAACCCCAGCTACAGAATTATCAGAGAAGCCATAGAGATTGAAAAAAGACCAGAAAGCATGACTGTCAATTATCTGGAAGCCTGCACTCTCAAACAAAAAAATCTCCACACCACAAGCCAGCCAAACACCTGGGCACAAATAGACTCCCCCTGATACCTCCAGCTCAAACACACCCCAACCAGGCACCCAGATGAAACCTAGCTTCCTAATAAATGATAGCTGTCCGTTTACTCGGAGCCAAGCTGCACTAAAAGCCTCCAATACAGGAAACACAATGTTGCCAGCCAATCAAGACAAAAAAAGCTACAAGACAGACAGAAGATATTAGAAACATCAATCAAGCAGAACACAGCAAACTCCAAGACCAATAAACACAGACCACCTCCCAACCAATCAGGATGAAGAAAAAACCATTCTGGCACAGCGTAGGCTAGCACCAAATTTAACAGATAAAACAGAAGCAGTTGTGAAAGTCTGATTCACAGACGAACACAATACAGAAGCCTAATGATGGCAGATGAGATTCTGCTGAAACGTTGCTACAACTTTAAAAGCACAATTATAATGACGTGGGAAAATACCTGAACAAAGCTGAATACCATACATATAAATACCCACGAAAACTTTA